CTGATTGGTAACTCTAAATTGTCCCTAGGTGTGAGTGAGAGAGTGAATGGTTGTTTGTCTCGTTTGTCTCATTTGTCTCTCTATGGACTTGTGACCCGTCCAGGGTGTCCCCCGCCCCCCGCACAGTGATTGCTGGACATGGGCACTGGTGACCCCCGTGACCCAAAATGGAAGAAGCGGGTAAAGATAATGGATGGATGTATCTTTACAGTGAACGCATGGATGGATTATTATAACATTATTCACAAGTTGGGGAAAGGATTTTTGTTTTGACAAGCTCTAAACTGGTATTTTTTTCTTTCATTCAACCTTTATTTAGACAGGTTAATCCCATTGAGCCTCAGGGACTCATTTACAAGAGAGACCTGATTTAACAAAGAATGATGACAACAATAGACAGTTATGAGGCATACTTTTTCTTTTACAAATTAAAATAAGATGGCAAAAAGTAGCAACAACAAATGTGTTAAATTTTAATAATTAATTGTTATTTGTCAAATATTAGCAGTATTGATGCTTTAAATGCAGCATTTATTTTGCCATTGTGTATTGTGCATCAAAAAAATCCCAGTACATTGTTCAGCATTTTAAAACTACTAGTACTCTGTATTAATTCCAGTTGTTTTTTTTATGCTTTTATTTTGACGGAGCGGTGTTCCGTTTCCGGGTGGTTAACGGAAACTTACCGCATCGCTTTGAAAGCCGCGGCTGCGGGCGGTCATCCTCGTTCACCGCCGGGTTTTCTTGCGGACTCTTGTCCTCCTTGTCTTGTCTCCTCTTCCCCGGCTCTTTGGGCTTCAGCTCCGGACCACGAGCCGTCCATGACAGCCTCTGCTGCCGCCCGGGAGCTCAGCCGCCGCGGCGCTAACAGCCGGACTCGGGGTTGCCCTTGACTCGCGGAGGAGGAGTTTGCGGGAGGAGAGGGGCAGGAACGCAGTGTGTGCTTATGGAAATGACATTGCCTGATCTTCACTGGCAGGACTGTCGGGGATGCTGCCGGGTCTCTGCGGAGTGATTTCACCTCAGCCGGCCGTGGAGCAGCTGCGGGCGGAAGCATCTGCTGGGAGTCCCGGCCGCTGCTGGAGCTGAGGAGGCCTGGACGCTCCGGGTCGGATGTTGTCAGAGAGCAGGTGTGCATGGCCAGATAAACAAAGTGTCCGGAGGCTGCCCTGCCTGCACTGCAGATAAGCCCAAGCTGCAAGCATTCTTTTCTTGCAGCTGTCTTTCTGGGCCTCTTAGACTGGTGGGGGTGTAAATGTGCAGATTAATAAAACATATGATCTTTGAAGTGAGGAGTTTGTAACCCTTAAGAAAGCCTGGTTTGATGAGCACCATGGATGACCATGAGGAGGCTGAGTTGTCGGAGTCTCTTCAGAAGGAGGATGGGTTTTCCAGTGAAGCTGAGGAACCGGGCACCGACTTTAAATCTAAAAGTTTGACTGTTTTAAATGAAGCAAGGCCCCTAGAGAAGACATTACTGGATAATTCAGCTCGTACGTCCATGACGGCAGGGGAAAGTGCTGAATTCATCCAGATGCCAACCAAGACCGAGTCTTTCCACGTCGAGTCCCCAACAAGAACAAACTACCTGCCGAAGCCGGGGAAGTCTGCGCTGAACAGGCCGAGCTCCTACACGGAGAACGCGGAAATCCGGAGGAGTAAAAGCGTGACCAGGAAGAAGCCGCCAAGCTTTGTCGCTTCAAGGCTAGCTCAGATCCGCCTGCCCAGTAGGAAATACCTGAGGGTGATCCTGCAGGACTCTCGCTGCTTCCTGTTCTGCATGTGCTACCTGACATTCATCCAGTCCCTAATGGTGTCAGGATACCTGAGCAGTGTCATCACCACCATAGAGAAGAGGTACAGCCTGAGGAGCTCGGAGTCTGGCCTCCTTGTCAGCTGCTTTGACATTGGCAGCCTCGTAGTGGTCGTCTTCATCAGCTACTTTGGTGGACGGGGTCAAAGACCGCGTTGGCTGGCCGTTGGAGGGATATTCATAGCCGTTGGCGCTGCTCTCTTCTCCTTACCTCACTTCATATCCCCACCCTACCAGATCCAAGAGGTCAACTCATCCTCACCTCATGAGGGCCTGTGCATGAACAGCAATACCAGTGGCAGGGATCGCGTTGATATTACTTCCTGTCCCAGAGACCAGGACGGCAACGAGCACCACCTGTATGTGGCGCTGTTCGTCGTTGCGCAGATCCTTGTGGGAATGGGATCAACGCCTGTCTACACACTGGGACCCACCTACCTGGACGACAACGTCAAGAAGGAGAACGCCTCGTTGTATCTGGGTAAGAGTTTTATGGTGCGCAATGAGTGAATTTTACCAGTTAGTGTTCGGTAATGCTCCAACACCGAGCACTCAGCGCAGTCACGTCTTCCAAATGATCCCAAGGCCAAACATCTGGAAACTGGACTCTTCTTGGTCAAAGTAGATTATTTGTGCCTAAATTCCCCAACCGTACAAAAAAGGTGATATCCAACAGATAACCATGAACATGATGGACCGTCGTTTTCAAATCGGATCCAAATCCATAAACATCAGCACCAGTTAAAGAAGTTGACCGTTTTAATTGATCGATATTGGCCACTTGTAAAAGTTCTTCTAAGTGGTGTTAAATATGCGTTTATTTAAAGCTGTTATTGTAATAATTTATTAAATGAAAATACAAATCGGACCAAAATGACAAAGCCAGTGTTGGATAACGGCCACCTTGAATTGTAAAGATGGGCCCCAGCCATCTAAAAGCATCCACACAATAATTCACTACACATTTAACATTTAACTCAAAACATATATTCTAGTGACATTATTTAATTAAATTCACATTTGCTGGTCTCAACTGTGCAGTACAAGTGGCGTGGTGTGCAAAATACAGAACTATCAAGGAAATCTTGTCTAAAAATCATTTTAGAAGGTTAGGCACCAATTTTTACTAACTGGTTTAATGAAGCGTGTAGCACCATTATGAGTGAATTTAAACTGGTCCTGTTAGTCAAGCAGCTAAAGCAGAGTGAGACAGAGCTGCCATCGTTTACTGTCATCACACCTAAAACCTGCTGCCGTCACTTCAAATGATCGTAACCTTACGAGTCACGAGAGCTTACCTGGCAACTAAAGGATGACCGTGTTGGTACTGATGGTTAATGATCAGTAGTTAACTGGCAGGTTTGGATAAAAGCATGACTTTCCTGATGGTGTTTTGTTCATTATTGGTTAAGGTCATGGGTCAGTGCGATGTTCGGTACATTTAGCCATCTGTTCATATCTACAAGGGTTCTGAACTCATCGGTGAACCATCTGCTCTGCTAATGCACCAACTGTGCACGACCCCAAAAAGCTTGTTTTTGCATATTTATTGGTCAGCATATATTCTGTAATCCAGGTTGCCATCATTATTTATAGAGTTTGGTGTAGCACTTGTTCTCACACCCGTATTGCTAAACGTCTGCCAACTCTTCTGAAGTGCACAACTGTCCCACAGTTTGAGTTGTCCACTCGAAACACGAGTGGATCTGCACTTGTTCACGTTAGAAATTCATTCTTGTTCCTGCCTTCTCTTGTTCCGTCTGGGCCGATGCCTAGCATGGAGGCTTGGACGCATGTGCAGAGCACGAGTGCCAGTTTGGGTCTCCATGCTGTAGAGAGTAATATCTGGACGTTTTGGTCCAACCATGAGAAACGTGACTTCTTGAGTTTGATATTTTTAGTCACACACTAGGTTTATATTTGCTTCCTGACACTGGTATTGTACCGAGTTGTGAACATCCACATAGAGACAAAAATAGGTTACACAGCGGCGGATGCCCTGGCAGAAGTTGTAGTGCGCCATGTGTAAATTCAAGCTGATTATAACAGAGCTTCATTGTTCATAAAGCCTCTTTATAATCTCAAGTGTTTGACATTTAATTCAACTAGAAGAGTTTGTTAAGGCCGGCTTATTATACAGAAATATTTGATCACTTCTGAGAATTTATATGCTAAAATGTATATTTGCATATACCGTGTTTTCCGCCCTATAAGTGGCATCAGTCCAAATATTTCTAATAAAGTGGAAAAATCCATAATTACGTTGCTTTGCCGTATAAGTCGCGTCTATTACGAGACACTGCTGATGCGTTTGTTACACGTCACCGCTGACTACTCAGAAACGTGGGCCGGTGTTGTGCCAAACATCGATTGGCTGCCAAATGGCAGCTGCGGGAGCGCGCACGGGAGGACTTTAACAAGACTTTAACAAGATTAACACTTGAAAACAATTATTTGTTTGCTGGAAATTATAGTAAAGGTGTGACTCAGCCAAACTTTTCCTTAATAAATACATAAATGCACTTTGATGGTCACGTTAGCTGCATTTTGCTGGGCGGTGCAGAGAATTTAAGCTGATTTGATGGTTATGGCAGCTATGGCAAGCTGATTGTGTCATTAATAGCCACGTTTACCTATTGCACAGCACAACGACATGCCATACTACTTGTGTGCCATCTAGCGGCTGAAAATGGTAGTGTTCAATATTTTCAGTCAGGGTGAATGAAACGTGTCATCTCTCTGACAAAAACTGGATTATAAATATGAGGAAAATCCTTAAATATGTCGCTTCACTGAATAAGTCGCAGGGCATGCAAATTATGGCAAAAACTTTGACTTATAGGCCAAAAAAATATGGTACTCAAGCTAAAGTTCAAGTAGGTTTATTGTCATTCACATGTGGTACATGAGGTGGGATGAAATTATGTACACAGGATCCCAGTTACATCCAACAATAGCAAAAATATAAAGTGCAAAAAAAAGTATATAAGCATGTAAGATATACACTATGCCAAACGGTACGCTAAAAGATCTACGTTAAACACTAATAATGTAAAACAATACGATATAACAGCAGCCCGAACATGAGTCTTTGTGAGCAGATGGGTACGAATGAACACAACAGCATGGATAATCAGCAGCATGGATAATCAGCAGCACATACAAGTCACATATCACACATCGTATACTCTCTAGAGAGTAGATATTTTTATTTTATATTGTATTTAATTGCAAACCACAGGCGTAAACGTGCAGCCATTGTTTAAGGTGAAACTCCACAGTTATAGGACATGGCTGCAGGGATTCACTTCTGTTTAACTGCAAGAGCAATAATGATGCATTGGATGATAAACTTTACTCATAGGTCTAATTGTTCAATGTGAGGAAAATTATATAAAATATGTACTTTATCACCAAACCTAAGAGTTTATCTGGGGGATATGATCATGTTTAACGAGGTTGAGTCAGGTCCTCTGGACCGATTCTTCTTTCTTGAAATGTCTCACGGCATTCGGTCTTTGAAACGTTTCGACAAAGAAGAATCCGTCCAGACGACCTGACTCAACGTTGTTAGATTGATCTACCTGGATTGTTGAGCATGCAGCATCATGTTTAGTTTCAGCATGATGAAATCCTAAATAAAAGTTAAAAACATAGTAATTTGTGCAATGTTGGACAAAAATTTAAAACGCGTTGTGGTTTCCAAGATAAAAAAATGTGGCCAAATTTGACGAGCAATCCACCAGTATCACTGCTGACCTCACAGGCGTCCTGGTGACATCACGCTCATTTGATTCCCCACACCTTTCAGCCTACACTAAATGACCCTCAAACTGCCGCCTCTGTTCCTTTCACATCCCCTCCTAGAAGAACTTGCCCCAGTTGCCTCAAACAAGGTGAAGTCTACAGCAAATACACCAGCACTGAGGGCAGGGTTATGAAACGGGGACAGAGAAAGGTCTTGCTGCGTGTGTTCTTGTAGTCCGGTAGAAAAATGGAACGTTCCACTGAGGCTTGTACATGATTTGAACTCCGTGATCTGTAGGAAACGAGGAGCAGTTGGACTGAGCATCACTTGAAGAGTGAAATTTGATTCTTGCTCGATGTTTCTCCAAGAAGGACATTTGAAATAGGAAACATCTGACATTTCCATAGATGTTGTGCAGATGTGTGGGTTTGAAGTGAAACACGTTTCAGCAGTAATGCACACATTTTCATCACCATTTTAATACAGTGTGGTAACCATTTCATGCACAGTTGTACAAAACGTCAACTGCTGGGGACATAATGGCCGCCTCTGGGTACAAATCGGGGTACGATTTGAGAGCGGCGGGTATTTGGCACCCATCTGGCTCCGGACCAGAGCTCATTGTTTCTAATGATAATTAGGCGTCGATGGTTAATTGTAATTGTGTGTATTTGTTGTATTTCTGAGGACGAACACTCCCAGAAGAAGGGAGGAGTGAAGTGTCTCAATGCACCCTGAAACGACAGGAATGTACCGAGCTGCAAAAACAAGAACAGCAGGGCGGTGTTGTGCTAAATTCTGTTTTATTTAGAATAAATCATGTTGCGGGCGTTTTACTAAGACTGTGGAAAATTGTGTCAGCCTGTGAAAAGGGCATATGTTTTTTTTTAAATGTCAACTAGTGAATATTTTACAATATTAAACATCCCAGGAGAAAGAATTGCACACAACACATTTTATTCTTTAATTTGTTTGGTAAATTACCATAAAATTAATCCACAGCATTTCTAACAGCGTCGCTTTGCTGCTTTTGTCAATTTGAGCTCATTTAAGGAAATATGTGATTTGTGTAAAGAGGCATCCTTCAGTATAAAAGCTACAGTGTTCAGATGAACCGATCAACATTTGCATGGAGTGATTTAAACAGAATCTGTGTGTTTGTTATTTATTTGGAGCTCATCCATCACCAATATGAGATATCCTCTTTAAGTGTTTTTTCTTATTCATCAGTGCAGCTGGACTTTTAACTGCATGCTTGAATGAAGAGTCTAGTTAATGGAGTGCAACCTTATTAATAGATCACACTAAATTATTTACATTGGTCTTTTAAATGCTACTTTACCAATTAGGTCCTTCAACATATTTTTTCATTAACAATATGGAAAAGTGGCAAGAAAATTAGGAGTTATTTCAAGTATTACAACATTTATTGCCTTATGACCTTGTGCAAAAACACTCTGCCTCTAAAAACCACTCTGGCGTGCAACCAAAAAGTGTTTGTCCAGCTAGATCCACTTGACCAGCAGCCATCGGTATTCAGTGGCTTTTGTGAGAACTGAATGCAGGCGTTTGTTTCCAAATCACAATCGGCAGCTGTGGGACAGCGCGGGGCAGAGCAGGACGTCCCAGAGAGCAGCAGCAGACAGTTTGGCTCCAGAAACACGGCGGTGGAGTTAATAACAGCTGACTGCCTCTACAGTTATTGGAATGAGAACACACACAGATTAAAATCA